TTTGTAAAACTCCCTTTGTATGGCGTATCTGATACATATCTTTAATTGGCATAAATTTTCATTTTTGTATTTTTTTAATTTGCTTTACAGCCTATGCTTAACAAGGCAGTCTTTTTTACTTTTATCTTCACATTTTAAACACAGTTGAACAAAAGAAATGTTATTAACACATTTTTTACAAGAAATTTCTTTTTCCTCAGAATGTCAGAACAAGTTCAGAAACTGAATGTTGATTTTTCTTTGTAAGTTATGGAAAAATAACATGAAAATTTTCATATTTTCCATGTGGTAGGAAAAAGGATATAGGTACAACCTTAATCTTATAAATACATGTGCACAAGTATATGTGTTGTGTATTTATGATCTGTTAGTTATAATAAACTGAAAGGAAATAGAATAACATGTTAATATGATATTTTGGGTCATGTGCTCACAGATCATTTTAATTTTTTTCTACTTTTTATATTTTCCAAATCTTCTTCAGTGAAGTTTTAATGACTCTATTATTAGGATTAAGTTAAGTGATTTAAGATGTGTTTTCTACATTCTGAAACACCTTAATGAAAGGCACTGGTTTTTCCGTTTTTCTTTTTTGGAAAGAAAGAGTTTATTTTTTAATCTTTTAAGAAATGGCAGTGACTTTTGCTTTTTGGCTTAGCCCTTGTATTTTACCAGCTGAAATCTATTCAGTTTAAAGATGTAAAATTTGCAGTTATCTGAAAGTCTGGCAACATGTCTTAGTGGTTAAGTGTCTAGGATCTGGAGTCAAAAGACCCATGTTCAAATCCTGATTTCTGTTTGCTACCAAGTAAATGTCTTAAGTTCTTTTAAGCCTCAACCTCTTTATAAATGAAATATATAAATGGTTCATTAAAATAAAGTAATAATAGTACCTCATAGCATTATTAGCATTATAAAGCTTAAATGAAATTAATCATGCAGAACTAAACCTTAGTTCATTGTCTGGCACATGGTAAACCTGCCGTAAATGTTAGTGTTGTTTTTTTTTCCTGCCTCTCTCTGGAAATCTAGGAGCTCTCCCTTCTTCCTTCAAACCTAACTAAACATTGTTGTACGCCACAGGATTTTATGAAATCAAGGGTAAACATAATCCAAGCAAGACTTTGATATTCAACACCATTCCCTGCCCATAGGAATTTCCTACTGGTTATATTGGTTTTTATGCCTTGTATCACCATATATGTGGCTGGGCCTGTCTCTTCAAACAATATGGCCTGCAGTGTGGTTTCCCAAGTGTGGTCTACAAGATGACTTTAGATGACACAAAGACAACGCTTTATATTTTTTAAATCTATTTTTATGGGTGAGAAAAAAATACAACTAATACATTAAGCCAGTGATTTCATGAATATTTTTTAGGGAAAGGTAAAAATGAGTATTGAAGAAAAATGCAAATTACTGTAAAGAAAAATATTAAGATATAGTACTGTAAGGTATAGCAAAAATCGCAAAGATGGTACTTGAATGGCTGAAGTTCAGGATTCTGATCTAGAGTCTCCTTCCTATGTCTGTGTCCAGGGTACTCATACTGTATCCTTAGAAGTTCAGTAGAACAGGTGAAATCTGTCTTAGACCTAAACCGTTGTCATCTATGATACACCTCAGGATCTCGCCTTTTATTATTTTTTCTTTTTTTTAAAAAAAAAAAACTAAATGGGTTCCATATTTTTCTAAACAAAGAAAAAGGAAATCTGCTATTCTCCTAGGACAATTGACTCAACATCAGCTAGCTTTAAAGTTTTTAAAGTTTGGAAAAATATACTGTTATATCTACGGTCTTTAAATCCATAGATTGTTGACCATTACCACCTTCCTGAATTCACTGTGTTTCAATTAAATATAATATTGTTTAGTATTAAATAAAACGACTATGCATTATTTTACTTAATAATACTCATTGAGTCTACCAATGTCAATTATTTTGTTGTATTAGGACTTACTGAACCTACACATATATTGGATTAAATGTTTTTGTTACCAAGTTAATTTTTAAATGTAAATCAGATCCTAAAATTTTGATACTTGAGCAGGTACGTAAATTTGCTATATTCATGAGGATGGAAATTTTTTGCTATGATAAGGATTGTCTTTTTAAATATTGCATGTAACCATATTAGTATCAGTAAGTGCACAATTTGTGCATAATTCCTTATTCAGTGGGAGGCATAAATTCCATTCCTAGTTCATAAAAATTATACAAGTAGCATTTATTCCAAAAGGAATAGTTTTACAGTAATTTATTGAGGAGATAAACATGTCTGATTACAAAGAATTTATTCAATAAGCTAATAGCTTTATTTTACATTTCTAAAGATGTATACTTTTAAAAACACATCTTTGATGTTACATATTTCTAAACAAAGGTTTACTCAGTGATTGTCCTGAAATTAAACTAGCTTATTAATTACTCTTCCTGCCTTTCCATACGCACACACATACACACACACACACACACACACACACACACACANACACACACACACACACACACACACACACACACACACACACACATACACACACACGTATAACTTTTGATTTAAATCCTTGGGAGACTTTACATGAAGTTGATAGACCTAAAAGTAGGAATGAAATGTTAATTTGTTTTGTTGCAGATATGCCTGTTATATATATGCATTTAGTAGTGCTACTGAGAACTATAGACCTGTCTGTCCTCTTCCCATGTGCTAAACTTTATTGATGTACATTTAAAAACTTAAAGATCACACATGTACTTTGAGGATCCCATGTATTTAAATTTTTATTTTAGACAATAGTTTTCCTCTCTATAACTGTTACTCCAAAAAGATATTCTTACATTTTGGTAATTAGATAAGGACTATATGAAAACATAGGTATTTGACTAACACATTTTGAAAATTGTCATATAAGCATAATTTAATGTGTGCTAAATTACGAATACTAAATTTATAGTAACTTGTTATGATGTATTTATATATGTGAATGTGAATAGTGTTTTAGTAAAAATACATGTACATATATTGAGCCTCTACTATGAGAGAAACGCAGCTGTTATTGTTATAGGCTCCTTTTACCCTAATCCTTGTCCCTACAACTTTTACTACCAGTCCCTTGTCCTACTGTAAATTTATTGGGTAAGATGAGCAAAAGGTAACTCCTCTTTGTAGAACTTGGGGAACTTCTGTGTTAGGATTAAATCCATCTGATTAAATGACTTCGTAATGAAATGCAGAACTTCCCTGACCACATTCTTAAGGTTTATTAGCCTTAATGGGTTGTCTATGAACTCCCAGCCTTACACTTAATATTACTAAGATGGAAGAAATAAAACCAGCCATTCAGCCTTCTCAGGCTTTCCTCTTATGTCTTTCTTTCTCCTGGACAGTCACTCTCAGGAGTTTCCTGTCCACATTTAATGGAATTTACAGTTAATAGAATATCAGGTAGTGCAAGAGGGAGATTTGTAGGCATCAAGGTTGATTTCTTTAATTGTGTAAGTCAGTATATTTAGCATAGTGTAAGATTGGCCTAGGAGTGGTAAGAGAAAGGAGTATTTTGTAAGGTCCAAATTTCTCTCCCTGACTGGTCTGATCACTGTTAAGCCATGCTGCTCCCTTTATCATTGCTCATTGATGACTTCTCTATCTCAGCTCACATTCCCTGGAGTAGGCAGGCACACTTGTTAAATAGTAGGTAGTAGAAAGCCTACCTGGTTTCTGCAGGCTCAAAGTTTCAATGAGAAAGGAACATGTTTTGAAGCAACCATTTTGACGAAGCTGCTTTGAAAGATACAATGAAAACTTTCTGAAAACAGAAGAAAATAACTAATAGTTTTATGCCTTCTGTATAAACTTAAAATATGCACTAATCAACTTTTTATTATGGAGAAATGTAAGCATTAGACATTCTCATTCCATTCTTGACTTCTCACCAACTTTTTCTTTACTGTCTCTCTGCTTTCATGTTTCTACATTGCTACTATTCCACTCCAGATATTAATTTCTCATCTGAAGAACCATAGACTTTGAAATGAAGATAAAAGATCAAAGAGAGGCAAAACAGCAGCAGTTGGCCTCTCATTGTGGCTCTAACAGTAACATATGAACTTAGTGGCTTGTAAGTGGTAACCTTCAATCCACCATAGCCATAACCAAACCAATGACCAATTTTTGTCATTCTTCTTTTAAGTTCCCTTAAGAGGCAGTGATTTAAATGGGCCACGGAATTCAACCCATGGCTTGGTTCCCTTGGGTTTGTCAGTGTATTAGGGACAGGGTGGCTGCAGGGTCTTTGGTCCATTACACACTTAGTAACAGTCATGAATATCAATTTTATTGGGTGATTCCAGCAGCCATTGGTACTTTTAAGATATATACATGTAAATCAGAAGGAGTTGAACTCTCTGTTGATTATTAAAATATTTTTTATTGGCCATTAGTGCCCTGTAGATTGGTTACTCTTTTTCTGTACATTGAATTTAGAATTTTTTTTTTTTTTTTTTTGAGAGGGTCTCTCTCTGTAGCCCAGGCTGGAGTACAGTGACACAATCTCGGCTCACGGCAGCCTCCGCCTCTCGGGTTCAAGCAATTCTCTTGCCTCAGGCACCCAAGTAGAGTAGCTGGGACTACAGGTGTGCATCACCATACCTGGCTAATTTTTGTATTTTAATAGAGATGGAGTTTTACCGTGTTGCCCAGGGTGATCTCAAACTCCTGAGCTCAGGCGAGCCACCCACTTCAGTCTCCCAAACTGCTGGGATTATGGGCACGAGCCACTGCGCCAAGCCTACCATTAATTTTTGTACGCTGTGGTAGATAATTATAAATTATTGCAGTAGTTTAGAATTTGCCTTTTGTAATATACCTAATTCAAAATGGAATCTATTCTCCACCTGTTAATTATTTAACCATATAAGGGGTTATGCAATATTAAAGGATTAATTACAGTAACTACTGTAGCATAGATTTTAAAATGTATTAATGACTTTTGTCTTATAGGACAAACTATTCGAGAGAAAAGAATTGTAGAAGCAGCAAAAAAACAAGAAGTAGACTATGAACCAGGGGATATTCCAACAGAATGGGAAGGTAAGTTTCTGCTTTCAGTAGAATCTCATGGGAGGTAAATTGTTTAACAATATACAAACTCAATAAGACTATATATAATTATATAATGTTTCTCTTTGCAAAAAAATTTTACTGTCTGAATGTTTTAAACTTTGTTTTTTTTAACATTGCGTTCTTTCAAAGTTGTGAAGGTGCCAACTTTTAGTACGGGGATGCATGTATAGCAAAAAGAACTATTAAGCATTAGGAAAACTGGGACTAAGGTGAGGCTAGCAAAAATCCTAAGATGCAAAATTTAAGCAGGTATATACTTTCGTATGGTGACCCTACACTTGCACAACCCTAGGATTTGAATCCCGTTTCTGGCACTCACTACACACATGAACTTGCAAAGTAACTTAAACTTTTAGTTTTTTCTTTTATAATTCATGCATAACACTTGCTGTAGATACCATTTGGAGTATTTTTTTCAACTCACAACAACCCTATTAACTGACCTATTGTTTAGACAAAAACGGATGCTTGATCCCTTTCCTAAGACTTTGAAATTAAGATAAAAGATCAAAGGGAGACGAAACAGCAGCAGTTGGTCTCTCAGTGTAGCTGTAACAGCAACATATAAACTTAGTAGTTTGTAAGTGGTCACCTTTAATCTACCATCAAAGTTTTATTGCATAAAAAGCTGATTTATTTCAGAAAAGCTGATATTGCAGAGAAAACAGATTTACTGAGAAGAAAACTGAAACTAGTTAACAATGAGAAGTATATAGAGAGAATATTTCCTAGTTTTCCAGCAGCTTTCTGGTTCCCAGTTCAGTTTCTTTCTGAATGAAGTTCAGCTGCCAAGACTGAGTTCAAAATGGTACCCGATAACCATGTTACTTATTTCCCTTTATTGCTTTACAGTGCCTAGCATATTGCCTGGCACATAGTAAGGCACCTAGTAGGTACTTAATCAGTATGCACTGAATTACATGAAATCTAGCTTTTGGTGTATGCAACTAAAAGAACCCTAACTGAAACCTCAATACCTATATTATATATCACTTACACATGTCACGTATTTACCTGGATGCCTGATATTATCCCATTACTTTACCATCACTGTGTTTACACTGTAATTAACCCACTGTATTAGGTCATTTTCACACTGCTATAAAGAAATACCTAAGCCCAGGCACGGTGGCTCATGCCTGTAATCCCAGCACTTTGGTAGGCTGAGGCAGGCAGATCATCTGAGGTCAGGAGTTTGAGACCAGCCTGGCTAACATGGTGAAACCCCATTTCTACTAAAAATACAAAAAATTAGCCAGGTATGGTGGTGCGCATCTGTAATCCCAGCTACTCAGGAGGCTGAGGCAGGAGAATCGCTTGAACCCAAGAGGCAGAGGTTGCAGTGAGCTGAGATCGCGCCATTGCACTCCTCTTGGGCAACAAGAGGAAAATTCCATCTCAAAAAAACCCAAAAAACAAAAAAAGATGAAAATCAAGAAATACCCGAGACTGGGTAATTTATAAAGGAAAGAGGTTTAATTGACTCACAGTTTACATGGCTGGGGAGGCCTCAGGAAACTTACAATCATGGCAGAAAATGACAGGGAGGCAAGCACCTTCTTGGCATAGCAGCAGGAGAGAAAAGAATGAAGGAGGAACTTCCAAACACTTACAAAGCCATCAGATCTCATGAAAACTCACTCACTTCACAAGAACAACATGGGGGAAGCCACCCACATGATCTAATCACCTCCCTCCTTCAGTGACGTGGGGATTCCAATTCAAAATGAGATTTGAGTGGGACACAGAGCCAAACCATATCACCCAATAGATGGAGCACTTAAGGCCTAAAAAGGTTAGTTAATTGACCTGGGTTATATAGCTTCATACATGAGGAAACAGTAGGCTCATTGCCTCTTGGCTGACATAGCATGATACCTTACATGTGGTAGCTATAGGCATTATGTTACTTTTATGCCAGCATGTGAATGTAAACATTATTTCAGTAAAAATATTTTTCAATATCTGCTTACTAGCTATGAAGATACTAGAACTACGAGAAATAGAACATAAAAATAAGTAGATACAAAAGTGTTTTTGAAGAAATACAGAACATAAATTGGCAACTTGTAGGAGGGGCAATTGAGCTTTCTCCTTTTAGCAGACTCTCCAGTGTTATAAGTTACATTTACAATTCTTAGATAATTCTTGCACCTTCTTATAATGAGTCTGTTTTTATCATTTTTTCCAATAATAGTATAGAATTAAGATGTTTATAGAAATAAAGTCATAAATAAATGAGTATGCAATGACTCATTTTTCAGCCTTTGAGACTTTCAGAAAGTTTCAATGAAGTTCTGATCTTTTTATGGCTGTCCTGATCTAGTAATTTGGCATAGCTCTCCCATGGAACATATATTTAAAACAAATCTATCAACCAAACACTAAACAAAAATTATCTTTATGGTGGTACACATTAATTAAATGTGAAAAATAAGAACTCAACACCATGAAAAAGTAAATTAAGTGTTTTTGTGTTCAGATGAATATTATATTTGTCAATTATTAGTAGCAGGATTCTGGTACCTGCAAGTTGCGTATTCTCCCACAATATAGATTAAACAATATGCTCTTTTTGTTTATTTTATAGGTAATTATTAAGGACCTCTACATTCATAGAGCTTATGTTCTGGGGTGGGAGAAAGATGATACACCAGATAAAAAACTAGACTATATTGTATGTTAATGGCCACAGAAAATAAAGCAGGGAAAGGGCATAGGGAGTGTTGGGGAGAATTTTGCAGTTTTCAATAGTGTTTAGAAAAGGCTTTGCTGAGATGACTTCTGAATAAAAACATAAGGAGCTAGTCTTGCAGCTAACTATCTGAGGAGCATTACTGGAGAGCAAGCACAAAAGCCCTGAGGCAAGAATGGGCAGAAACATGCTCAGATGTTTAAAGAACAGCAAGGAAGCCAGTGTGACTGGGATAGAATGAGAGAGAAAGTAATAGATAAGGTTACAGAGTTAACAGGATTGTCAATCTGTGGGGCCTTGTAGCCTATTTTAAAGACTCTGGCTTTTACTCTTAGTGAGACTGGAAGCCATTATAGGGTTTTGAAAAGAGTAGTCATAAGTCCTGAGGTATATTTAACAGGATCACTATGGCTGCTGCATTGCAAATAGACTTAGGGGAACATAGGCAAAATATGGAGACAGGAAGCTCTTGTAATAATTTAGGCAAGAGATTAATTGTGACTTGGGCCAGAGTAATAGTGGGGGTTGGAAAGAAGTAGTTGCATTCTGGATCTATTATAAAAGTAGGGCCAACAGAATCTGATGACATATTGGATGTGGAACATCTGAGGAAAGCAGTCAATAATGACTCTTAAGCTGTTTTGGTCTCACCTGGAAAAAGGAGTTGCTGTTAATATTCATGTGCAGGACTGTGAAAGGAGCAAGTTAGGGGTGGAAAGATGAAATCAATTTTGGACATGCTAAGTTTGAGATGCCTATTAGACATCCAAGTTAAATTGTATGTGAGCTAAGAATTTAGTGGACATATCTGTACTGGAGATAAAATTTAGGAGTTGCCAGCAAATAAATGGTATATAAAGCAATGAGACTGAAGAGATCACAAACAGAATTAGTGTAAATACAAAATGAGAAATTCAAACACTCACCCTTAGGATGCTCCATAGTTTAGTTAGAGGCAATGGAGACCAAAAAGGAGCTGCCAGAGTAGTAGGAGAAAAGAAGAAAAGTGTCATAGAAGCCAAATATCAAAGAGGAAGAAGTAATCAAAATGTCAAATGAGGACTAAAAATTAACTCTGCTTTAAGAAGAGGGATTTCTCACAAAAATAGTTCTGTAGAGTGGTAGGAGCAAATACATGATTAAAAAAAGGATAGCAAGAGAGAATTTGGAGAGACTGAGAATAGACAGTGTTTATGAGGAGTTTCTCTGTAAAGAAAAGGAGAATGATGAAGCAGTACTTGGAGAGGAAAATGGAGTCAAGAAATACTTTGTTTTGTTTTAAAGACAGAAGAGAATTTTGTAATAGTGATGGAAAAGCTCCAGTCAGAGAGAAGAATTGCAGGAAAGAGGACGTCCTTGAGAAGACAAGATGAGGAGAACCTAGTACACAGGTGGAAGAGTTGGCCTTTGAGCAAAAGCATGGAAAATTCATCAATAGTGTAGCAGAAAAAGAGTCTGTGGGCATAAATGCAGGTAGATGGGTAGATATTGTAGTGAGAAATTATAAATTCTCTTCTAATTCTTCCTAATGAAGAAGAGTGATTTAAGTAGCTTCCTAAATGCAAATAGCAGCTAGAACCCAGATTGGAACCTAAATTATCTGCTTCCAGATTTTTACTCAATATTATATTACACTGCCTACATCATTTATAACTTGGCAAACTCCTATTTTTTATTCAAGTTTTGGAGTAGGCATTGCTTCTGTTTGTAAGTTTTTTCTGATTCAGCCCCAAACCCCCAGTGATAAGTGAGATATTCCTTTTTTCTGCTTTCATCTCACTTCGGACCTCCTTCAGTCATGACACATAACACACTATAAGGGGTTCATTGTTTACTTATCTGCACCCTCCACCCTACGCTTGAAGATTTTTTAGGATAGGATCCTTACCTTATTCACTTTTGTATTCTCAGGGCCTAGCTCAATAGTTTATGTAAAGTAAATATAAGGTCAATCAACATTTGTTGAATGAATGCATTTCAAATTGAAAGTGTGTAAGTATGTTTAAGGAACAGGTATTTCGGGAATTTTGCTGACTTGATGAAAATAGTCCATTTTAAGAAGAAAGACATGGAACAGCAGACCAGATCAATTGTTTTCAAACATACAGAAGATTCGACCAGGTGCAATGGCTTACACCTGTAATCCCAGCACTTTGGGAGGCTGAGGTAGGCAGATCACTTGAGTTCAGGAGTTTTAGACTAGCCTAGGCAATGTGAAACCTCGTCTCTACCAAAAATGCAAAAAATTAGCCAGGTATGGTGGCACGCACTT